TTAATACTAAGTACTTACCAGGAACATACCTGGCTAACACCAGGAACGCGCCCTAAAGGAATAGTTACATACGAGGAACGTTCTTGATGCTTACCTGGTCCATAATGGGTTGTATTATGTATCTCTATCAAACTTAAATCTTTCTAGTTTTGTCAAACATGAGTTCAACTTGCTGAGATTTAGACAAAACAAACAAAAGAATTTATTAGTATTTTTAATCTTGAGCCAACATTAAGACACGGTTAGCTTAGCAGAAAGTAAAGTTCAAAGAAGGAAACAGTTTGAACATTTGGTAATGAAATTAGACATAGTATAAAGTTTACACGTTTACTTTAAAGTCACTTGTAGTCACATTTCAGTTGTTAGTGGATAGACATGGTTAACTTTTCTACCATTTTTATCCACAGTCTTATGCTAAAGTATCACATTGATTTTATTATTTAATCTTAGAACAATAACCAAGCGACACTGTTTATATTTTGTACATTTGCCCCGTGTGTGTTTTTAAAATAATCAAACTTTCAGTATTTCTGTTCATTTTAACCGTCCGAGCTCCGCCCTGTACACCCACAGCCAGCCTGCTCCCAGGCAGCACCACCCTGCAGCACCACCCTGCAGCTCCTTATCATTGATGGCTTTGAGTCCTTGCTTTTGACGCTGGGAATCTCAGAGGTCCTAATGTGTTCTTTACTTTCCCTCCTGATGTCTTCCTTCTTTTCTGATTGTCTTCTTTTCTCCTTTAATTCAGGGCAGAGTTGTTGAGTGAAACTAGTTTCCCTGACTGATCAGCCCCCGCCTTTTAATTGAGGACTGTCCGACTTTCCAACCACTGAATCCCTCTCTTTTCTTCGTGTCACACCCTTGACCACCAAATTGGAACACTTTTCAATGACGCTCTTGTTTTTCCTCAACGCAACATCTTTGAAAGGGAATAAAGATTTTGAAAATTGTCTCCCATTTCACCTCCTTCTTAACCGTCACTGTCACTTCTCTGTAAATATGGACTCCTAAAGATCAGACCTTTTCTTTAAGAAGTAAGGTGCCACCCTGTTCTGTACCTCCAGTACCCCTCTGCCTCTCACTGGCTCAAAGTTAACAAGTTGAAACACAGCGTGGCTTTTCTGTCAAGATTTGTGATGCCACTCGTACCCTATGACGTCTGGGGATTTTACTGTAAATGTGTCTTTGGGGTTTATTTGGTTTATTGTGACTACCTTGACTGAAACCTGTCTTTTTTCCCCTTTTTGAATTGCAGACCAAATGTAAAAAGTACTCCACCAGAGAAAAGGGAGCAGTACTTGTAGTTTGGGAGTCTTCTGGCCTTACCGTGGTTTAGATTCCGTCAACGTGCAAACCCTCTCACTGAGGAATTCAAAACAGACAAGAATGAAATTCTGGCAGCTTGCAGCAGCAGCAACAAATATTTTTTGGACATGAATGAAATAGTTTGTGGAGGTAATAAAACAGAGCACGGTGTTTTTAGAGGGGCCTAGAGATGATGTCCTTGTCTGTGTTGGTGGCTTTGGGGGAGTCATTCAGGGTATGTTTTCTATAACATGTTTAATTGACTGGGTGTATATTCTCCATTTTTTATTTACTACATATATTGTTTTACTGCAGTGCCTTATAACATGTTTGTATTTGATGACATGAACGCCTTCAGTCCCGTCCAAAAGGAGTCTTTCACAGCTATTCTGTATTCTATTGTTGTTTTTAATTTATTGTTGGAATCTACTTTGCAGCATCACCTCTGCAACAACACACACTGCAGATGTTACAGGTGTCAGTGCCACGGTTTGTAAAAACTGGTGAGGCAGTTTTTAGAGTGCCTGTTTGAAAACACACCTGTTCCATTTATTTTAGTTTTTCCTTTTATAGTTCCAGTTTGACCAGTGTAAGTGACAGACTTGTTGTATTTGACTCTTTAGGACGTCCTCCTCTTCGTGTGCTGTTTTATGTACTAAGGAACACGTTTGTTCGAATGCATTTATTTACAACACCATTCTTTTGTCTAATATTTGGCTTCTCCATGTTGTGTAGCAGCGTATCATTTACAGTAGATCCATGTTCGTTTCTGTTAGAATCAAGTAAACAAAGATGTAAAACCAACTCTTGGCTGAGGCTCAGTTCTTTTGTTGGTTGTTTAACTTTTTTCCATTGACTGACCATTTTTCTGACTCTCCCAACTTTTTCTTTCTTTGTACTTTTTAATCCTTTTTACTTCCCCGTTGTTCAGTAATTGCCAACATGGAATTCCACTTCTGCTCGAATGGATGGCGACGCATTCCCACAGAGAGACTCACAAGGTTCAGTTGATCCCCACTATTTCAATTGACAAGGACGCTCAAAGTTTATCTTTGTTAGGTAGAAATGAAACAGTCACCACTGGAAAAAGGTTAGCAAGCTCAATCATCCAGATACAAAAAAACAGTTCAATCATGTCATCTGGACAGTTTCTTTTTGGATGAATCGTTTAGTCTTTCATCCAAACGACTTGGCCGGTCTGAGGCCTGCCACCAAGGTCTGCCATACAAATAGCAACTTATTGACGTGTTTCAAGTAGAGATGCACCGATCCACTTTTTTCCACTTCCGATCCCATACAAATATCCACTGTTCGGCATCGGCCGATATCGATCTGATACAGAAAAACAGTGCTGAATTAACAAAAATGGCTAAATCATGTCATCTGAAACAGGTCCAGATGTTTCAGATGACATGATTTAGCTATTGTTGTTGTCTACCTGAACATTTGAGCTTACAGACCCAGTGCTGAATTAACTTAAAACATTTGTTTGTTTTAAACGCAGACATGAATGTACTGAATTACACATTTATTGAAAACTCTGCACCATAACAGCACATTTAACACCAAGAGCGCCACAAGCTCAGTCAAACATGTAAAAACAACACGACTTTAATTTGTTCAGTCAGTTCGTTAGCGCGTGACGTCACTCAGAGCACAAAGCGTAGAGTTAGAGTGACTAGAGCTGCCCAGTCATGGATCGGCCACATTGTCACGATAGCCGATCCAGAAGTTTTTCAGATATCGGAGCCGATGCCGATACTGGTATCGGATCGGTGCATCGCTAGTTTCACGCCAGCCTGCTGTGGAATTTCCAGAAACACATACACATGCTTTACACGTGCAAAAAGGAGGACGATCCGTTTAAACAATCGATCATCACGTACCAAATCAAATATCTTGGGGCCTGATGGCCAACTTGCTACTCACAGAAACAGCCTGAGGACACCTGGCCATAATGGTCCAGGAACAAAGGTTTGTAAGCTCAATCATCCAGGAGATAAATCACACACACAGAAGTTATGTCATGAAAGACCTTCTGGGAATTCCACAGCAGGCTAGCTTGAAACACGCCAGTAAGATGCTATTTACATCACATGACAGACCTTGGTGGCAGGACTCTGACTGAAGAAGTCTTTCGGATGAAAGACGAAACGTTTCTTCCTAAAAGAATCTGTCCAAACGACCTGATTTAACGTTTTTGCGAGTCACCACTGGAGTTTGTACAGTGAGCATAGACAACTGTAACATGCATTGATAGTGCAGTCCGTGCATGAACAGGCTGTAAACAAACAGAAATTAACAAAATAATGTATTAAGGTGGAGCTGGACAAAACAGAGGAAATAAAAACCAATATCACATCCTGACATTATTTACCAGTGTAACAGTGGCGATATGTATGTGAGGCGACACATTGCTGAAGCCACGTTTAATCCATGGGAACACACAGCCAGTCAGCAAGTAGCTGCAGACTCAGGTGAGTCGGATCGCTGCTGCGGGTCAACAAACAACCAGAAGTGCTGCAGACTCAGGTGAGTCGCACATAGACGTGAACATACGTAACACAGAAAACAACTTAGCCACGTTTTAAATTCCTTTCTGAATTTGACAGTGAGCAAGTGGAGAGAAAGTTGAATCTTGGCTTTGTTGCAGTCTCCCACCCTGAGCAAGCACAGTGGAGACAGTGGAAAGAAAAACTCCCTTTAACAGAAAGAAACCTCCAGCAGAACCAGCTCAGGACAAGAGACCATCTGCTTTGACCGGCTATATAATTTCTTCTAACTTTCAATAAAACTGTGGCAGCACCATTTTAGATTAACTGAAGAATAAAAAAATATTGCTGACATTTTCCTGTAGAATGTCCCACAAGACCAAAATCAGTGCATTGAATGTAAACAGGGATAAACACTGATGCAGATGAGTGATGGGCACACAACATCCAGAAACAGAGAAGCAGCAAGTCTCAGTCGAAACACGGCGGCTGAACTAAAACTGCCTTCTGAGGACGGCAGCAGCGGTGAGAGCCGAGCGGGGACGTGAAATCTCACAGACGCTTGACATTTACGGATGCTCCCATGACTTTAAGGTCTGTGCACACACCCGTCATTACTGTCAAGGACAAACATGTTTCCCACACAAACATTTGGTGGAATTGTGTTTAGAAAGGCATCTGGGACACAGGCAGAATCTAAAAATAAACATGGCAGAATGTATCTGCCACGGCAGTTTATATGGGAAAACATCCTGATTTACCTGCTGTTAGAAAAGATTAATGCAAGGCAGATTTGATTAAGAAATTATTAACTTGTAAAGTCAACCTCATTCAAGATCGTTGCCACAACTAGACAACTTTACCAAACACAAGCCTGGTCCTGCTCAGCCAGTTGACAGACATTGAGCTGAGGTTTAGTGTTGTAGTGGACAAGCATCAACTCCAACATTAGACTTCAGCTCTGCCTTCAACCATCTTGATACTAGAGAAAGAAAACAGTTACTTGAAGGGAAATTACAAGAGTGTGTTTTTGAATTAGCACACAACACCAGACAACAGCAATGATTAAAGTTTATTGATGATCAGCTGCTGGTGGAGGTCTGGGTTCAATGATGCACCAGTTTCTAGAGTCAGAGGAGTTAGTTTTCAAGGTTTCACTGTGAAGGTTCTTAGGATAATAAAAGGTAGTCACTTACCTTCATTGTCAGGTGAGGGAGGGGCTCCTTCAGTGAGGTGGAGCCGATGACATCACTCACAGTGAGTGAACAGCAGCAGAGCAGCAGGCTTGTACGGAACATAGTTTGAGAGGGCGTCCAAAAGTGAAGTCCATTAAAACAGGCAGGGATCAAGCACAGTTGGCCAGAGATCCTAATCCAAATTCAATATGTGATCAGTGAGACATCGCTGAGGTGGGAAGCAGAGTCGGTACCATGGTCAGAGGTAAATCCAAAACAGACAAGGGGCTGGCAAAGCGGGGAATCCAAAAGGCAGGCAGGAGGCATGACAAGACATGGCACGAGCACTGGACATCTACAAAGTAGATGATCTGTGTAAACACACATCTTCTATACAAGATCACCACTCTGATGAAAAATTTCACCATTTCATATTTTTCACGTTTTTACTTTTTTCCCAATATTATTTTTTTACTAATTTAAATTCCAGTTCTGTATTATGAATATTTCTATGCAAAAAAAACATGTTTTACCAAAAGAGTACAAAAAACAAAAAAAATATGCACCTACTCTAATCACTCATCTTTTAATATCACATGCAGCGGCTTGTCAATCAACTGGGGTGGCACCTGGGGTGGCCAATCAGGTTGTGCCACATCGGCCACCCCTCTGGTTCTGCCCCTGCTGTTATAAAATGTTATGTATTTTTTCTGCTGCTGCTCCTTCTTCAGGGGTCACCACAGCGAACTGTCACATGAAGACTTGACGAGTGTTTTTATGCCGGACGTCCTTCTGACACAGCCACAGACACCGAGCTACCACAGCCTCTGTGTGGAGCACAGAGCTGCCATGTAGGGTGCCCAGAGGATGGTGGGGGTTAAGGGCCTTGCTCAAGGGCCCAGAGTGGGGCAGATGAGGGTGGAGACAGGTGTGTATGGTCCACGTTTCCAACCCACACTTTGATGTTGTCGGTCGGGGGGTGTTGAACTAGCAACCTTCTGATCACAGGCTTGCCTTCTCTAACCTCTGCACCACCACTCCACCTTGTTGTTATAAACTAATAAAATAAAAAATATATATTTTGAGAAAATGTTTTTTTTCAGCACAAACTGACTTTTTGTTCATTTCTCCATTTTACTGAAAGAGGATTTTAAAAAGAACACAAGTGCACGTTAGGTTTGTTAGAAACACAAGTGGATCTGTGTGAAAACAAGATTATATTTAAAAAATCTGCTCTTAAACATTTCTCCTTTGCATTTGAAACTTGAAATCTGTCTTAAAATGATGGTAAAAATAAAAATATCCCTGAGCTGACAACAGGGTGAGCGTCCAGTGGACGGCCTGCAGAGAGCAGCGTTTGCCTTCTCACTCTGTCACGCCTCACATTTATCACTTTCACTTGTTTGGACAGAAAAAACAAAGTTTTCATCTAGAATTACTTTCATTGATGTATAGTAAAGGCAGAAAGCTCCCACTGCACACCAGTCTGAACTGTTAGATATTTTTATCTAGACTGGTTCCATGGTTTTGATCTGCTCAGAGACGGCATTATAATGAAAT